AAAGGTCCCAGGTGGGCCCCGACCTCGGAACCTTCTCGCTGTGAGGCAACTGCGCTAACCACTGCGCCACCGTGCTGCCCCACCTTTGAAATATTTATCTTTATTTTGAAAGGCCACCCACTGAACAGTGCACCTTGAGATCAAGATCAGGGTGCCAGAGAGAGACACACACACACACACACACACAGACACACATCTGGTCTAGTTCACATATCAGCAAGCAAGTGCAGGCAGGGGTTGATCTTCTCATACCAAATGGCCAATAGGATCACAAACTATTGAAGGTTGCACCCCTGTCCAGGGCAGAGCAGCCTAAGAAGATAAATGTTTGTAAAAATTTAATTCAGGATTCAGAAGCCAGTTTTCCTGCGGGAGCTCTGTCTCTCTGAATCAAGCGCTGTAAGACCTACCTGTGATCAGACTTTCAGTAAACTTTCTGTTGATTTTAAACAGTCCTCTCCTGTCTTCACTTCTTGTGCTTCCAACAAAAGAATTGAGTTAATTTCTAACAGTCCTATTGGACTATTTTCACATCTTAATAAGTTCAGCATACCTTCAGCTAGAAAAGCCATTCTGGTATCAAAATGTTCAGCTCTTCAAAGCCATTCAAACTTTATTGCATCTCATTCTTCACATTATTCAACAAAGAACTTCAGCCATTTCTTCTCAACTGTTTCAACAAAGAACTTCAGCCATTTCTTCTCATCTTTCAGGTGTTTCAGCAATTGATTTCAGGCATTTTCAGGGCAATCTTTCAGCTTTTATTAGCATCCACACGCATTTTCGACAGGAAATGCATTTATGTAAATTATTGTGTCCTAATCCCGACAATAACTGAAAGTGAAATGTCTCCACTAATCGTTTTTTGCTATTTATTTTAATTAAATGAACGGGGCACTACTAGTCTATATTTTCTTAGGCTTTGACTCTATCATGTATTTTGATGGATGTCTCAGTGTTGAGCATTTCCTCATGCTTATCTGAACCCCTTGTCCCTCTTCAAGGATGCAGTTAGTGCAAGATATCCTTTTGCCTTTATTGCAGTTTGCCATCTCGATGATAACCACAACTTTCTTAATATAAAACATACACATGGGATATAATAATCCATGTGCACTTCAACACTTGCATAACATTTTTAACAAGCCAGGAAGTCCCTCCAAGCTGCTTCAGTCAAATACATCTAGTCATGCATAGCATTCCTCAGTGGAAAGGCTGCACAGCCTGGAAGATCAGTAAAACTGTAATTTAATTCAACTGCTTCCCTTAATATTTCTAGGAACCTATTAAGCTTACCGAAGCCTTCAAAAGATGGCTTAAATACAAAGAGTGCTCTGATGTTCCTTTGTATTGTCTGGTGTCATGCATGTCCAGTTCATTTAGCCAGCAAATGGGAGCATGTAGGGGTAATACGTGTACACAAAAGATTCCGCTGGTAATTTGTTTAGCAAAAACCAGGGTGGCCTGGCTGACAACACTTGTGTGGGACACTGCCACACACAGACATCAGATTCTTGATATGTGTCACTTTCTCCTTCCCAAACCACACCTGCTTTTACTGTGAATGACATCACAGGGAAAACTGTGTGATTTGAGGAAAGGAATGTTGGCAAATTTGCTGTATTTGCATCTAGAAGCTCTAAGAGTATGTTATCGTCTTATCAACCCTCTTGTCATGAAGATATTTTTCAGTGGAGAAATGCTAGGAATCACTAAGGGTGTTTTTGCATCAGCCATAATCGAGCCGAGCCAAGCGGGGCTGAGCTCAGCCTCCAACAGAGCTGGTTCATCAAGACGTGATCGGCTGAAATGTTGTGACGAGGCAATGTCTTTACACATTCTCAGTTCACTTTTTATCTGTTATTTGATTGCAGAAAGATTTGAAAATGGGGTCTCTAACTTGGTCTTCTGATGAAGGTTTAAAATAATGCCTAGAACAGAGGGCTCCATGTTGCAAGGTGGTAATACCACACCAACACCAGTTTTGTGCTGCTTCTCAGCAGCTCATGCCACCCCCACATGATCAGAATGTAGAAGATAAAGAATGCCTTTTAAAGTACACTAGTGGAAACACAACCACACTGATTCGGGAGCAGCTCAGCACAGCTCCTCTGTGGACGCTTCGGCTTGGAAGGGCTGACCCCGTGCTGATTGGAGAAATACTATAATTGTTCAAGTACCTCTGACAAGGCAGTAACTTTGTCAGTAGTGACTGTTGGAAATGTCTTCTGTTCACCATGACTAAGTTTGGTCTATCAGAGTACCCAGTGGTTGAGCAGAGGAGAATACCATTCATTCTTAGAAAGGACATTATGGCATCACTGACCACCCACTACCCCACCAGTGAGCCACTTAGCAGCATAGTTCAGCAACAGCTGGAATTGAAAGGCCCCTGCTCTTCTGCAGGTGTATGTGTGAAATTACTTACATACTACACACTTGTTTAGCAGCTGGGAGCGTGTATCATATACATTTGGAGCCAGAACTAACCTGAGAACATCCTGATAAATAGAAAGCATCTAACTGTAGATCACACAGCCATCCTCTGTTCAGATCCTTATGTTGCTACCAGGCTCTGTGAATTGAGCTATAGATGAGGACTCTGTGGAGCACATTCCTAGCAGTTTTGAGATGAATAGAGTCAGGGGGTCACTGGCAATCATGGCTTCAGACAGTGTCTCCACCCTTTGAAGTCAGTGCAATGACTGGTACTCTGATGGTCAAGAATATTTTGGTTTCCTGTGGTCATTTATTATAATCTCACTGAGTTGCCCTGTTCATATTAAAATGCTTTCAGAGCAGCCAGTCAACAAACGCTCTTTAGAGCAGCCTCTTAACCACACACAATACAGAGTGTTCTTCTGGTGACAATCTGGGCTCTCAAAGCTTTGGTGTGGCTCACTGGGTGGGTAGAGACCAGTTAGGAGTGACACCCATGAGTGTGGCTGCGTCTGTTTGCAACTGGACACCACATTTGAAATATTATGCAGCCCTAGTTTTTCATTTTGTCCTGTAATTTTCAAGCCAGGAGGGCCTTGCCTCTTAGTGAGAGCAGGATATGTCTCCAAGTTAAAGTCAGTATAAAAAGAAGCATATTATTGTAATGTAAAAATATGCTGCTCTTTTATTGTTTTACCAGGGGTGCAGTGCAGTAATATGGTACTGTGTGTGGTGCATCATAATGGTTACACTGCATACTGTAATGCAGGGGTGTCAAACTCAATCGC